TGGATATAGAAGTTCTAATTATTATCATAGAAATAAAATTTCTGTTTTCACCAACATTGTAGATACACTTTGCAAAGGAAGTACAAGCACAGCTACTCGTAAACAGACCACCATACCAAGTCAGCAAAATCAGATTAGGGAGCTCACTAAATCAGTAATATAGGTCTGTGCACACATTGACAGAAATTTTACACAGTAAAAGATCACTGGAAAAAAATTATTTTAAAATAAGGCAAAAACAAGAATAAAATTTCATAATGCACGAAAGAATGAAAGTAGTTGGAAAATAACTTCAAAACTCTATGGCCCTAAAAGACATAACAGCAACAAAAGGTAACAAATTTCTGACCCTACGTCGCTTGAAATAGCTTCGATTGGCTTTTTCTTGTCAGTGTGCAAGCCTACAAGACAATATTCCCAAAATTCAAAGAGGTTGAGACTTGAATCTCTAGCAAAATTAAGAAAGCTGGTCACAGCATAATTAAACCTCCAATTGTGCAATTCTTAAGCTAAGAAAATTAGAAAAAGTTGTTCCGGATTAATTGTACAAATTCAGTCAAATCATCACCAAATTTGAAAAAATAGTAAACAGGATAAACACAGAATATGCAACTATTTCTACTTAGATTTTTTCCTACTTGGTGTTTCAAAGGCATGAGGCGCCCTCAGTTAGTTGAGGGACATCTTGATATCCGGGGTAGCTATTAAAGGAAGACAAAGTGAAGCAAGCCATTACATGTTTATAGCTTATAGTAAAATGGGTAAGGGCGTGGAGATTAAGGATCGACAAAGTAAGTGAACTCATGAGTGGGTGAAAAGCCAAAATTAAGATAAGAAGCAAGATTAATCCAGAAGCTCAGCAAAGCTTATTGAACAGTTGAATAGTGAATGTATACTATATGCAGGACAATCATCATTGATATATGTATACTTTTAAAAAACTAAATAAAGGGGAAAAAACGCATTCAACCCAGAACCACACATATTAACAAGAAGCTATAAAATCACTGGATGCTTAATAGTAGCACGTCATATTCTATGGCTTGTAGAAAATGGGAACAATAAAGATTCAGAAAAAGGGAACCTACAAACAGTAATTTTAATAAGAATAAAAAGGCGCCTCTAAGGCCCTCAAGGATTATGTCCGAGAGCCTATCACCCTCAGCACCTCACCTCAGCTCATGCTTTTATATAAACTGCAAGTGCTAAACTAGATTCAAACCAGTGCTCAACAAGCAAGGATCCATTTTGCCGGGTCTAAGAACATTTCTGATATTGCCTGCAATTGCACATAGACTCTGACTTAGCATATGATAAAGCCAGCCCAAGCAAAAGCAAGCAGAAGTTGTATTAAGGCTAAGCTCAGCTAGGATGACAGCAGCAAGGTAGCTGCCAGCTGACAATTCCGCTTCCACAGACTAGCTGCATACTCAAATCTCTACTACATACTATCCCTTTATCAACCATAAGCCAACCCTGCAACGCGGCATAAGAAAAGACACAAGCTAGCATTGTTCATCAAATGGACCCAAAGGGTGCCAAAATAAACCAAGATGCTCACACATTCGTATATCATGGGCTATGAAATCATCCACCACTCCTAAATATCCATCACCAGAACACTCTAAATAAGCTGTAGTAAAAAGAGATCCAAAAAAAAAAAATTGAAGTCCTATCTTTAATTTAATCTCAAGAACTCACACTTTAAGTGTTCGATCATCGGAATTCAGAAATATCTATATAACCACTCAAGGTAGGATGATAAATGGCCTAAAATCCACTCAATGAAGTTATCAATCAGCTACAGGCAGCTGAAATACTTTTGGATAACTAGGTCAATCTTACACTCCTTCGAACTCATGCCATGAAAAAATATTTATGTTTATGACATGTCGAAAACACAAGTAAAACAAAACAAATCCATGGTTGGCAATGACTTAGCTTTCAAACAAGGATTCTTGAAAATGCCAAGTTAAGCTAAAATATATCAGTGCCTTACAGCTTTCACAAAAAGTTTAAGTCAACATCTTCTAATCACTTCTAGACAATGATATTTCCAATAAAACCACAATTGAAAGCTAAGAGAAAACAAAATACCCAAAAAAAAAAAACAATACTTCAAGTTGAAAGCTAAGAGAAAACAAAATTCCCAAAAAAAATACAATTGTTCAAATTGTGTAAAACCAACCCAACCCATCAAACTTCCATAAAATGAGAAGGAAAAAAAAAAAAACCAAAAATTCAAAAAAAAAAAAATCCCAATTCAAAACTATCAACTCCTATTCTAAAGAGATTTCTAGGGTTAAAATTATTTAAATGATAACAATCAAAAATCATCTAGACTGAATCAGGAAGCTAAATATGATAATTCTGCTAAATACACATATCAATTAAAAAAAGAAAAATCAATCAATTGGGAAATTAAAGAAGATGAATTGTAAAAAAGAAGGGTCAAACAAGAAATCAAATCAATCAAGAAAACCCAGAAAAACAGAAGAATTAAACCCAATAACAAAACCAGATCAAATCAAACAAAACATGAAAAACACAAAAAATCAAGCTGAATTGCGATGAATCTAGGGTTACAAACAACAACAGCAACAACAACAACAATCAACAAAAAATGATAAATTTCAATAATAATAATAATAAAATAAATAATTGAATTTTGACTTACCGTCATGAATACAGAGAGGAAAGGAAGAAACAGGGGGAAGAGAGAGAAAGAAGAGAGAGATTCGAATGAAATGAAGAACAAACAAAAAAAAGGGGGTAAAAGAAAAGGGGAGAAAGAAGATGAAAGAAGTAGAGAGAGAGAGAGGAGAGAGAAAATGGGGTTTTGATGATGACGAAGTTTTGTGAATGTGAAATGGGGAAGAGAGAGAATTTTTGTATGAAAAGCCAGAAATAGGCATGTGAACGTGGGGACTTTTCAGAGCTCATTCTCTCTCTCTTACAACGCCGTTTGCTTGCTGTTTTTAACGCCGTTTATTTATTTTCACCGCTAACAACTACTGTAACAGCTAACTATCATACGAGTAGCTACGAACAATAGTGAGAGTGAGGGATAACAGTTCAAGTGGTTAGAGCTTCCCTCTCGGTCCCAGAGCTTTTGGTATTGAAGGTAACTTTTATTTAAATTGAGAAATATTTTTATATGTAATAACTAATCAACAACTATTTTATCGAATACTCATACTTAAATCATCTATCTCCTTAGTTAATAGATTATTCCTACAGAGCTAAGAAATAACTTCACATTTCACAAATATATTTTGTCGAACACTCCCTAAGTGATTAGCGTATTAACGAGTACGAAACATAAAACACTACAGTACTTGGATAATAATTATTTGTTGATTGAAAGGAGAATTAACGTCTTTTTCTTTGTAGTCTTTTACTTGTACCGTTGTACATAGTATTACCATTTTTTATTTATTTTTTTTATTAAAATTATTTTTATGCAACTAGTTGGAATATTTATTTGTTTCAATTGAAGGTGGGGACCATGATTTTGGGAGTGTCTAATGTGAATTGGAATATTGTACTCCGTGATAGTTATGTCACTTATGCGCATGTTTAAAAAACTTTGGTAAAGTACTAGTAAGGGTCTGTTTCGATTGACTGAACTCAGCTGAACTGAACTGAACTTAACTCAGTTAAACTGAACTGAACTGAACTAAACTTATTAATTAGTGATTTTTAACTACGGATTAGTGATCTTTGATTATTTATTGATTATTTATTACTATACATATGTGTATATACAAATGTACATATTAAAATATTTACGAAAAATATACTATATAATTATAATTATAAAATGTATGGAAAATATATTATAAAATGTATGAAAAATATATTAAAAACTTGAAACCTCTAAACATTTTAAACACATATACTATTTATTATTATTATTATTATTATTATTATTTATTGATGATTATTATTATTATTTATTGATTATTATTATTATTATTTATTGATTATTATTATTAGTATTATTATTTCAATTATTATTGTTATTATTTCAATTATTATTGTTATTATTATTATTATATTTGGTTTTATATCATTAGCAATATCATTAGACATAAATTAAGAGCTGAGCTGAACTGAACTGAACTGAACTGAATTTCAACGGAACAGAACAGGCCCTAAGGTCTTGTTTGGTTGGCTAAATATTTTGTGGGAAGTCAAAATTCCCATGAATTTCATTTTCACCCTCTTGTTTGGTTAACACAAAAAAAGTGAAAATGGGGGTAATGAGAATTCATGGGAATTTTGACTTCCCACAAAACATGGGAATTCACTTACCTTACCCCCCCTTGGTAAGTTGAAATTCTGATGGGAATTTACTTCCTCCATTCTAAACCAAACAAATTTGTTAAATTCCCATGATTTAGATGATGGAATTTATTTCCCACAAATTTAAATTTCATGGGAATTTACACTTCCCTGATGAACCAAACAACCCCTAAGTGTGTAACATTGGCAATTTGTATTACTGTCAAAACGATTTGACAGTTCGATTTTGGTTCGATTTAAAAACGGAATGGTTTAAAATCGATTTCAGTGTCTTACGGGTCATTTTAGTTCGGTTGAAATAATTTTCAGTTTCGATATTCCTTAGCGGTTTAAATTCAGTTCGACGTGTAAACAATTCGGATAGTAAATGATTCGGTGCAAACGGGTTGCAGTTAGTTAATGGTTCGATAAAAACTGTTTTAATCCCGGTTCCAACAGTTTCGGGTGTTGGAAACGGTTTAGGGTAAGAAACAATATTTTTGATCTACTTTGGTATGAAACAATCATGACATTAAACTTGACCTGAGCGTAAGAATAACTCGACCTAATGTTGATTAGACCCAATAAATTACCGACCAAGTTTCAACTTACTTCAATAATCCCACCCCTTACCTAATCGGTATATGCCTAAACTTAAAATTGAATCTGACGTTAATAAACCCCAACTCATATCCGAAATACGAAAATAGCTACTTCGTAGTAAACAATACTACACAACAAAATTGAAATTGACAAGAACCAAACCTAAAAATGAAGTTTACTTTAATCCTATATCGATCTTGACTGGGTTTGATCAGAATAATTTCCAAAAACAGAGGGAAAGAATTAATTTTTGTAAAAAAGAATTAAAAAAAATACTAGTACGTACTCCAGTAAATAAATATTTTGTTGTACCTTCTAGAGTTCTAGACCAAAACCCCATTTCAATTTCTTCACCTGACTTTGGTCTTCAACCTCTGCAAACTGCCCATAAATCAGATGGTTAGAATTTTACTTATAAATTAAAAAATGTTTTCATATTTAGTTTCATTAACAATCAAGAAACCCACTTTAATTCCCAGAATTTTCTCAACCTTTCGAGGTTTTTCGAGCTTAAATTCTTCCCATTTTCTGGGAAATAATTCAAGCTCTCAAACTGCTGTTACTTCCACCACAACATGCACCAACTCCAAATTTCCTGGTAATTTTCTTTCTTCAAATTGCTTGAAAATATGACAAGTTTGTTATTATTTCATGTAGAAATTGCTTTTATCCTATTTGTAATTTGATGGGACTTACTGAAATTTCTTGAATTTTCGTCATGGTGTTGAATTTCTTATGTGCTAAGAGTATGCAAAATATCATATTTCTGTTAAAGTTTGTAACTTTTGATTATTGTTTGTTGTATTCCTTTTATGGTACAATATTGGGTTGCCTGTAATTTGTATAGTAATTTCATAGGGCCTGAAAAATTCATGGTGTTGCATTTTTCCAAAAGTTAAAAAAATACCCATTTTGTGCTGTTGTTAAATTTCAAAAATTTTAGGTAATGGGGGTAAAGAATATGCAAAAAAGAATATTTTCCAATTTTCCTGATTATACTATTCATCAAATCATGGAGTATGGCTTATGGGATGAACCAATTGTTGTTTGACCGGAGTTGATGGTCTGATTATATTCTGAATGAAGTGTTTGAAGTGCCTGCTTTATACTGTAGTGATGTTATTATCATTTGATGATTACAGGAGGTTTGGAAGATAGCATTTGTGCTATTCTCACGCTTGATCGGTGGGAGTCACTGAACCACATGGAATATAGATTAGCTTCACTTAGACCAGTTCATGGAAAATTAGCTTTAAAATTTCTCGATTGGGTCATTAAAAGGCCGGGTTTGGAGTTGAATCACATGCTCCATATGTATAGTATTACAATTCACATACTAGTTAGAGCTAGGATGTATGACTACGCAAAGTCACTCTTAAAGCGTGTATCTTGTTTGGATGTTGATGTAAGTTTCATTTTTGGAGCTCTTATGGGAACATATCGACTTTGCCGTTCAAATCCTTCAGTCTTTGATCTCTTAATGAGAATTTATTTGAAATTGGGACAAGTAGATAATGCTCTGGAGACATTTCATTTGATGGCTTCTCGGGGATTTATTCCATCAGTTCATACTTGCAATGTGATCTTAGCTGCAATACGGCAGCATCAGGTGGCTTGGGCCTTCTTTAAAAAAATGCTTGCGAGAAGGATTTGCCCTGATGTTAGTACCTTTAATGTGCTCTTGAACATTTTATGTGCTGAGGGGCAGCTTAAGAAAGCTGAGTATCTCCTCAGGACGATGGAAGAATCTGGTTACGTCCCAAATGTGGTTACGTATAACACTATGCTTGGTTGGTATTGTAAGAATGGAAGGTATAAAGCTGTCTGTGACCTTATGGATCAGATGACTTGTAAAGGTATTGAAGCTGACACATATACGTATAATATGCTTATCAATAGTTTATGTAGAAATAATAGGAGTGCGAAGGGGTATCTACTGTTGAAAAGGATGAGGAAGAAGAAGATACTACCCAATGAGGTGACTTATAATACTCTTGTTAATGGGTTTGTCAAGGAAGGGAAGCTTGAAGTTGCTGATAAAGTTTTTGAGGATATGGCGCGGCTTGATCTTAACCCGAACCATATCACCTATAATACATTGCTTGATGGGCATTGCAGTCATGGCAGTTTTCAGGAAGCCTTCAAAGTTCTTTGTAAAATGGACGCTGTGGGGCTTGCACCTAACGAAGTCAGCTATGGGACTTTGTTGAATGGGCTATGCAAGCATGCCAAATTTGAACTTGCAAGAAGTGTATTAGAGAGCATGAAATCAAAAGGTATCACTGTTAGTTGCACCATGTACACAATGATGATGGATGGGTTTTGTAAAAATGGGATGCTCACTGAAGCTGTAGATTTGCTAGCCGCAATTTCAAAGGACGGCGCTTGTGCTGATGTGATCACATATTCTGTGCTAATCAATGGATTCTATAGGCTAGGAAAGATGCATAATGCGAAGGAAATATTATGTAAGATGTACAAAACAGGAATCCGACCTAACAGGGTCATATATGCAACAATGATTTATAATGCTTGCAAACAAGGAAGAGTTAATGAGGCCTTGAAACATTATGCAGCCATGAACTTTGATGGGCACGAAGCTGATCTTCAAACTTGCAATTTGTTGGTTTCCTCTCTTTGCAACAGTAAAATGTTTCAGGAGGCTGAGGATTTCGTGCAACATGTGACTAAACCAAGTGCCAGACCTAATTCTGTAACCTTTGATTGTATGATTGATGGTTATTCAAATTTAGGCAAAGTGTCCAAAGCATTTTCTTGCTTTGATGAGATGATTAATCTTGGTCATGATCCAAGCCCTTCCACGTATGGAAGTCTTCTGAAAGGAATTTGTAGGGGTGGAAACTTCAAGATAGGGAAAAGATTTTTCCAGTTGCTGCGTAATATTTCTGGTATGCCCGATGCTTTTGCCTACAATACATTGATCGCTGCCATGTGTGAATCAGGCAGATTGGCAGAAGCAGTAGACCTCTGCAATGAAATGATCCGAAATGATATTCTTCCTGATAATCACACATATGTTACTCTTCTGAGTGGTTTGTGTAAAAAGGGGAAAGTTGTTGCTGCACTTCTCTTTCTTGGAAATTTGACTAGTAGAGGAATTTTATATCCTTGCCAAGTGGTATATACAATACTGATTGATGCTTCATTTAAGGCTGGCCATCTAGACGCTGCTTCCTATTTATATGATAATATGGTGAGGGAAGAGGTCTACCCTGATGTAGTTGCTGCAAATGCTATTATAGATGGATATTCTAGGAAGGGACAAATGGTTAAGGCACATGAAGTTCTGCAGTGGATGAGTGGAAACTCTTTTCCAAATTTGGCTTCTTATAACATCCTTTTACATGGGTATTCAAAGATGCAGGAACTATCAAAATGCTTCATTTTGTACAATTCTCTAAAAAGCAAGGGATTTCTTCCTGATAATTTAACACAGCATTCCCTCATTCTAGGACTCTGTGAGACACAAGCAGTGGAGCTTGCTGTGAAATGTTTGAGGAAGATGATATTGGAGGGAAGTATACCTGATCAGTCGACATTTAACATGCTTATCAGGAAATTTTGTGAAAGTAGTGAGATGGAGAAGGTATTCGAACTGACTGATGTGATGCTGAAAATAGGAGTGCAAACTGATAGAACTACCTATGATAATGTCATCATTGGACTCACTAAAAAGTCAGCTTTCCAGGAAGTGCATATGGTTTTTCATGAAATGCTGGGAAAGAGTTATGTTCCTACACGCAGACAATATACAACATTGATGAAAGGTTTACTTAGAGCAAGAGATATAGCGGGTGCATTCAGGCTCAGAGATGAGATGGAGGCCCTTGGCGTGAGCTCCTCTGATGTAGCTGATAGTGCTATGGTTAGGGGACTTGTGAAATGTGGAAAGATTGATGATGCAAAATTGATTTTTGATAGCATACTACGGAACAATTTGGTTCCATCTGCTCTCACTTTTACAACTTTGATGCATGGGCTTTGCAAAGAGGCCAGGGTCACAGAGGCTCTAAAATTTCGGGAAATTATGGAACAATATAAACTAAAACCTGATGTGATTTTGTACAATGTGCTTATTTCAGGTCTTCATGCTAATGGTGATAATGATGAGGCTTTTGAATTGTATAAAGAGTTGAAACAAAAGGGTCTTTGGGCTAACATTACTACTTTTGAGATTCTCATCAGTGCCGTTCTTGCTAGTAAGGATCTTGAAAAGGGTGAAACTCTTTTGATGGATATGCTAGAAAGGGGATTCATATCTCAAATTGGAAGCTCAGATGACATGCAGCAGCTTTTGATATCTGCTCTGGACACCCTGAAAATGCTGCGAAAAAAGGCAAATATTGGCTAGGTTTATTAACAACCAGGCTTGGGCAAATTAAGTAACAGGATGCCTGATTACAAATATTTGTCCAAGTTCATATTGGTTCTCTTCAAGAGTTCAAGCTGATCAGGCTTGCTTTCCATATTGGTTTTCTTGCGGTGCGTTAATCATGTGTGTATATGTCAATTGGCTTGTTAACTTAATGTATAATGGAGCTACAATTTAGGTACTTAATCTTCTGCTTTGTACGGTTCAGGTGGAGACAGCACTGCTACAATATGATGGCTATATGATGGCTTGAAGACTTGACAGATACCTTCTGTTAGATGACATTCTTCCAATATGCTTTACTCTGGCTCTTGGCGTCTTGCATGATATAACCTTCCAGCGAAATCCTAATTCTGTCTCCCAGACTGAAAATCTATCTTACATCATCTATGTTGGAAGCATGGTAATTTTTAGAACACCATGTACTTTATTTGATTCTTGAGGCTGTTGATTCCAGATTGCAATAAAAAATTGAAGTGGTTGCTGGAGTTTAGTAATTTATTATATGTTCTGCCTTGCTTTTACGCAGACATCATTATGGTCATTTTGTATGATTGGGTTTTTTGTGTTTCTCACGTCATCTCTGATTGGCTTTGCAGAATGATGTTTATGATAGTTCTAGACCTTACTTTTAGCATGTATGCAGATGGGGAGAAACTTATAACAGACTTGAGCTCTCTCTATTATGCTCCCAGTATAATTGAACTTTGGAATTGAAGAATTTCTTCTTATGCTGTATTGGTAAATGATAACCTATACCCTAATACTTGTCCGCTTTATAAATCCAAATATAATTGGATCTGCTCGAACTAATTCTTTCGTTTAATCTGTCTTTTTCTGTTGGCTGTTAAAGGTCGCTGATTATGAGCTTCAATCTGAGGGGAGAAATGTAATAGTGTTACAGAGGAAACAAAGCACAAGTATGTTTATCTTGTTGCTGACCATATTTTGACGAATGATATCCATCCCCAAATCACTTCATTCCTTGAAGGTTTTTATGATTTTGTGCCTCGGGAGTTGATTTCTATTTTCAATGATAAAGAGCCTGAACTCCTTATAGGTGGACTTCCAGAAATTGACTGTGAGTGAGCTTGATCACTGTTACTCCATTTGTAATATTGCTTCCACTCTTGGATATTGATTCGTTCATATGCATTCCAGTGGATGATTTGAAGGTCAACACAGAGTATACTGGCTACACTGTTCCTTCCAATGTCATTCAGTGGTTCTGTGAGGTTGCAAGCAGTTTCAGGCTTTCAGCAAGGAAGACATGGCAAGGCTGCAACAATTTGTTACTGGAACGTCAAAGGTACATGATTATTTTTTAGCCACCATGCTTTTCCTCTCATTAATCTTGGATCCATTTTGGTTTAGGCAGTTTATCCACGATTGAGTTCTACTTTCTCGTATTATTCAAGGCAAAAATGTCTTTCAAAAATACTTGTGTCATGACTTTTGAATTAGTGCTGTTTGCTCCTATATTCATATGGGATTAAATGAGTATGTTTTCTCCTATATTCATATGGGATTAAATGAGGGTATGTTTGCTCCTATATTCATATGGGATTGGTACATTATCAAGTCCTGGTAAGACTATGAATGCTATATAGTCTGTTATGAAAACCTGCTTGTAAATTTCACTTTGAAAAGTTGAAGTGTATAATGAGGTTCATGCTTAGGAGTTAGGACCAAGTTGGTTAGGATGGAGTATCGATATACCATGTATAGATCTTACCCATACAGTTCCAAAGGGGATCCGATTTCATTACCTCTCCATTTCTGTTAGACCCTTTATCCGGGAAAAAAATAAAGGAATAAATCGGCCTGCTACTTAGCAGAAATATGACAGTTTAGTGAGACACGATTTTAGTCCATTGTATTTCATTGAAATGAACTAGGTGCTTGGAAGAATGCTTATAACATTATAGCCACAATATAGTTAAAGCAATCAACTGTATTTGATCTAATCTGATCGTAAGTTAAGTCAATTTATTTTTTTGTTGATGGCAGGTGTGCACTGGTTTTGCTGTATCTTATGCCAGTTGGTATATTGACTTCTGACTTCCCAACTTCCCATTGACTGCCAAAAATAGCAAGGTTACCAACTTATTCATGTTATAATTAACCTTCTGTATGTAGTTCTCTTTTTTAAAAGAACGTAGTATAAAATTAGCATATTATGCAGCTCGTGTTGTTTTAAGGTTAAATGTTGATTCATTGTACATAATAGAGTTGCTTACTGTTTGTTGACAATTGAGCTTTTTTGTCGCAATGCAGCCCAGCGTCAGTGCCAAGCTATAGAGGAATTCGCCTTTGCTACATGCCTACAATTCATGGATTCAAGTGCTAGTACTTTGGCTTCAATACAGGAAGTTAATACTTCTGGGAAACCTAGTAATTTCAGTCTTGGTTCCAGCTGAGAAAGGATAGTATGTATAATCAGATCAGCAGCAACAAGCTAAGTAATTGCCAAGCAAGGATCTGTACTATCTTGAGTGTTTCAGCCGCTCAGTTAGAAGCTTTAGCTGTCCTTAACGTCAAAAACCTCGTTGAACGTGGCTTGACAGGAAGCAAGATTTTACCCAACCATGCGGAAATAGACTGAATGATTAGAGACAAAGCCGATTCTTAATAAAATATTTGCCGCGATCATTAAGCTGATCGTTAAGTTTAGTGATGAAATCATTTCATACTATACTATGTTTTTAAAGTTCCTAGGACTGTATTATATGGTAGAATTCATCATCTGGCATTCTGGCAACTACAAAGTACTTCCTTGTATATTATAACCAAAAATTGACTCCATTATACAATTATTTGTTTGAGGAAACTTCTAGGTTGACTTTTTTTGTTATATTATTTGATTGGTCTCAAATGTCCATATATTAATCATATACAAGTATAATGCATTAGCCTACAATTGAATACGCAGCATAAAGTTTTAAAGTATAGAATATAACGGGTGAATTGTATAAAACATATAGTAACCAATGATCTATATCATTATCATTATTATTATACGTAGTATAAAAGATGAATATTTATCTAGTCAACTGTTAAAAGTCGATTAATAGTAAATTGGTAATCGAAAGTTATATTAACAATAATTAAAAGTCGCCCATAAACTGTATATAGTGAAACAAAATTCATACTCCATACTATATAGCTCTAAGAAAGGAATAACTTTGCTATGATGAGCTTTCTAGTGCTGCACCTAGTACACTTTTCATCACAAGAAAAGCAGGAGTTTTTTTAAAAAAATTATTTTATTTTTCCTTTGAGATTAAGATTTTACAATAAGAAAAGTTGAAAGCTTTAAAAAGCAAATTAATTTTCTTTAATGAGGAACCTGGACTTCATGTCTCATACGAAAGCTAGTGGAATTGACGGCTGGAAATTTCTTGTAGATCAAGAAGAGCACTCAAATGAGTTTTTCTTTTATTTTCTTGTATCATTCGGCCTCTGTTGTACCATTCATTCATTCATTCTTGTAGTAGTGGCAGATTGATGAAGACGACAGTTTGCGAATCAGAGGTAATGTGAATATTGTAGCCAAAATTGGCATCAATGTCTCTGTATCATTAAACCAAGTATAAGGATAATCAGTAGTATATAAATAATATAAGGTGTTGCCTGGATTGGCAGTAAAGAGGGAGGAAAAGTTAAGGGAGTAAGAAATTCTGGCAATTTTATTTGCCTGTATTGTGAGTAAACAAGTTGTATAAACAAGTAACAAGGACGGTGTAAAATAGATACCTAAGATCGCTTTATAAATTTTGTATGTCTGTACATCCTCATTATAAAAAATAATGTATACTGAGTCTAACTATTATGGCTCGACATTTGATCAATAAAAGAAAAGAAAAGCTTGGAAATTACTCTTACCTCTGATAGTTTATCGTCTGTCGTTACAAAACGAATGGACATTGATATTATCGTCAAGATCAAGTATATCTTCAAGTAAAGTGTTCGATTTTGACTAGAACCTTCAAAACATCACATTATTCATAATAAACCAAACATGAATTAAGCAATCAATCAAATTATTTATAATCAACCACTGATTATATAATTTATATTGCATAGAAACATGTCCAAAAAAAAAAAGGTCAGGTTCACTAAGCATACTCACCTATATGTCCAAGAACCACAGCAAGAACACCGAGAATGGTGATGAATAAAAGTAAAAACGCATCAGCACAATAACCATGTCGTTGGATTAATTTTATATCATCTACATTAATCAACGCTAGAAGGCCATTCTGCAAGATCATATCAAAATTCATATTGGGAAACAATAAACCTACAAAAAGACATACGTAGGGCTTGTTCTCATTGACTAAACTGAGGCGAATTGAATTGAATATTTTATAAGAGAAGGAAATTAGGAACTGAACTGAAATGAACTGAATTAAACTTAACTTATTAAAGCTGAAATAAACTAAACTGAAAATAATCTTATCAGAATTGAATTGAACAGACCCATAGTACATAAAATTATAAAACAAAATCATTTTTTTTTCACCTAAACCTAACACAAGCGGACATGACATAAGAATACAATACAAATCAGAACGAAAAAATCAAGTTAGTGTCATTAATACTTCTTCAGACAAAACAACACAACCCGGACACGAAAAATTGCGGGTTAATGTCAAGGATTTCTAACATGATTAATCAAATGGGTCAACAAGCCCATTGAATGAGTCGGGTTAGTTTTGAGGTTAACTAATTTAATTTTCGACACGATTGCCAACTCTAATTTCACGTAACTATATTTCATTGGAACTATTGATCATAAAATCTAGATAAAGAGTAACAATCAAAGTTTGTCAACTAAGAAAACGAATGAATTATAAGGTCGGATCATATTAGTATACATAGGATTTACAATATTATTGTACGGGTATTGTTTGTTTGACTCAACCAAAACAATGTATGATACTTATTATGGATGTAATAATAGTGTTGTTTAATGTAATTCGTTGTTGAAATAAAATTCAAGATAAAAGAGGGATTTATGTTTATACCTGGACTAAGAAAACCCGAAACAATATTGATTTATATTTGGCCACTTTATTGGTGTCACCTTCTTCATTAGTGTCGCTTTCTTTTTTTTGAACGGAGTGTCGCTTTCTGATAATAAAAGAAAGTTATCAACAATAACACGAAAGTAAGAAGAAATTCAACAATAAAAAAAAAAAGAGAAAAAGGGTTATTTATATTAATCTTTGTAATGTGTAACCCTAATTGTATTGTACTATATAATTTTCATAATGAATCACTGATTATATAATTTATATTACATAGAAAAATGTAAAAAAAAAAAAAAAAAAAAAGAAATGTCAAATTCACAATAATAAAAAAAAAAGCATACTCACCTTTTTCTCCAAGAACCATAGCAAGAACTCCGAGAATGCTGATAGATAAAAGTAAAAACACATCAGCACCATAACGTTGGGTTTTTCTTTTTTTTTTTGGACAAGACACGTTGTTTAATAACTACAGCAATCGTCGCTCGAATGAATCTCTGCAAGACCATATCAAAATTCATATTCGGAATTAATAACCCTACGTACAAATTGGAAGACACAAATAAATAAAATTATCAAGATTTTGCAAAAGATGACATGACAATATACAATACGAACCGGATACGAAAAAATTGAGTTTGTGTAATTATAAATTTCTCATACAACACGAAAAAGCGGGTTAATGTCAAAGATTTCTACTACGCTTAATTAAGTGGGTCGACACGCAAATCGAATGGGTCTTCGGTTTAGTTTGGAGGTTAACTTTTGAAACGATTGCACCGAAACTATAAATCATAAAAGCTCTAATTTACCTAACTATATAGCACCAGAACTATAAATCATAAAAGCTATGCAAAGTATAATTTATAAATAGTGCAAAAATCAAATTAAAGTGTGTCAACTAAGAAACCGAATGAAATATAAGATCGGGTCATGTTAGTATATACTTCGACACTTCAACGGGTGTTTGTTTGACTCAACCAAAACAATATATGATACGGAGTACTTTTTATCAGGTTATAGTAATAGTGTTGTTTAATGTAATTCGTTGTTGAAATAAATTTCAAGATAAAAGAGAGATTTATGTTTATACCTTGAGAATGAAAAACCAAAATAATTTGGATTTACGTACGGCCTCTTCATTGGTGTTACCTTTTTCATTAATGTCTATTTCTGATAATAAAAGAAAATATTCAACAATAACACGAAAAAGTAAGAAGAAATTCAATAATACAATACAGAAAATATAGTTAAAAAGGAGAGACAAAAAGACATACTTGGTAATATCTCCTTGACATGTGAACTCATCTTGATCAACTAAAAAATAATGGAGAAAAAAATTCAAAGCTATTTGGTGAAATTCTAGTTCTTCATGGTGTTGAGAGTATATATTTATATTGTTGTAATGTGCAGTACTAATTGTATTGTACTACGACTACGCATAAATATTGATATATTTGGGATTTTTAAAAATATTTTATTTTAAGAAGATAAATATTACGAGTATGATATCAGTTCAAATTTCAAAGATACTAGATGAATCCCGTGCGATGCACGGTTTGTTAGTTTTTTTTTTTTTTTTAAAAATATTTTTCTTATATATGTGATTAAAATTGTTATTATATCTAAACTTTAAAATCTCATTCGTTAATTTTGCTTACGTGACATTTGAATTATTTAATTGTAAAAGAAATTAAAAATCTCTTATTTAATTGGCTACAACTTAAATTTATAATCCTACATGGCGCGCTAAGAAAATTAAATCCTACGTGGCTCTCTAAAAACTCGGGGAAAAACTCACCTTTATATATATATATATATTAGATTAGATTCTAATTCTAATTCTAATTCTAATTCTAATTTCTAAGATAAATCTTTTTGCAAAATCTGATAAAATCAAATCAAATTCCTATGTTTCATAACCCAAATATGTCACACGTATATATACACATTATTAGCACAACCTTACTAAAGAATCCTCATCTTTCTCTCTCTTTCTAAACTCTCAATATTTTTTGCGATCTCATCTCTTTCCAGAAAACCTCACCCGAAAACCCTAGACCTTTTGATCGCAAATACTATCAATTTTAATCAAATTTAATTAAATTTTATCTGATTTTGATGATTTCTGAGTAACTTCTCTAATTCTTATAATCTTTTCCTTTTCTTTTTCTGCTGATTTTTTCAATTTACATACATAATCCGCAACACTTGAATTGAGATTTTTATTGAATTTCAATTCAATTTTTGTTAGGGTTTTAGTTTCTGGAATACTTTGATTAACTTTTTGCAATTTTTGCTGGTAAATGGTTAGCGTGAAGTTCAATTCAATATGAAGCTTAAAAGAAGGAGGGCTTCTGAAGTGGTTAGTTCATACTATCTTTGATTTTTAATTTTTCGTTGAATTTAGTATGACGTTTCTTCAATTAATCGTGCTCTAGGGTTTCTTGTTTCAATTAATATGTTTTTTTTTTTCAAGAATATTATTTCATGCAGTTAAAATTCAAATTGCATTATTGACATCTTCTATGGAATTGGGAAGGATTGTTTATGATTTTTTTTTTATTTTTTTTTTGAAATTGAATGTTTGTATTTGATTGTTGTAAGTATGCGAAAAGTTTGATTCTGTTGTGCTCTTAATTATCTCCTTTCCAGACATTCGAATTGGACAGCACAAATAATTATAGATAGTTGTTGATTAAATTAGTAGGGTAGAAATTTTTGTGTTGAGCTGTATTTTTTCGATTCTCGATCAATGATGGTATGGTCGTTTGCCTTGGCACCATGAAAGTTGCAC